GGAGGGGCGGGGTCGGGAGAGAGGCGCGAGGTGCGACGGTGCCCGCTCCCGAGGTCGGAGCCGCGGGCAGGTGGTGAGTGGGAGTGCCCAACGGGCCTGAGGCCAGTGGGCATCAGAAGATGACCTTGGGTTTCAGTCCCAAATGGGACCTTGGGCTAGACCCCTGAGTTCTCTGGACCTGTGACCCCAGCTGAGCAAGGAGGAGGCTGAAAGGTTTGGTCTAATGAGCGCTTGGAGATCAGGCAGGGGAGCGAAGCCGGGCAGAGAGACAGTTCCAGCAGGGAGTCACGAAGGGGGACAGTACAGATAGTGCCGAGCGAGGGAGGTGGACAGGGACCCCACACCCACCTAGGGGAGCAGGTCCCTACAGGGAGGGACCTCTCTGTGCACCCCTCTCTCTCCACCTCTCTGGTTGTACTGCGCTTCCCACCCAAGCTCTCCTAGCGCAGGGCCTCTCCCCTGCTCCCCCTGAGACGGTAAGAGCTTGCCTGGTGCCTTTATGGTGGGTGATGTCCCCAAGCCTAGCCAGCACTCCTGCCTCTGGGACCTAGGTCATTGACCATTCCTCTCTGGGGCCCTTGCCCTCCTAGTGCCCTGACATCAGTTTATAATCCCGCTTGGGGCTGGGAGGGTGAGCACAGGCCACCAGGTTGAAGGACAAGGAAGCACACACCCCTATCTCCCACCCAGGGCCCTGTCCTCTGGTTCTGCCCTTCCCCACTCCCCCAAAGCCACAGAGACGATGCACGCACCCTCAATTAGTGGAGGAGTGCTTCTCTGGAAATCAGATGCCGTCGGTTTGAATCCCAGACCTTCCACTTTGGATGAGGCTGGAGCAAGCAACTTCTCTCCGACTCCTCCTCCCACCAGAAGGCTGGCCATCCAGACCTCAAAGCAGTGACAGAAGCTGCTGTTGGTAACTCAGTGGGTGCCTAGCCCAGGATCTGGGTCTCATAACCACTTCTACTCTCTCCCCGCATGCCTCTGCTGTTTGCCTGGCTGGGCCTCAGCCCCTGGGTGGGATGGAGGGTAGACATGAGGTAGCCGCCATGAAAGCAGAGGGCCAGTGAACGTGGGCCTGCTATGGGCTCCTTCCCTGGCTCTTGACCAGGGCGGAGCCCTGGGTTCCCAGGGAGCTGTGAGTCTGGCTTGGGGGACCAACTGCGGCCCAGTGGCTTCTTGTTCAGTATGGGCCATCTGGTCATCCAGCCAAGCCGCAGTCACCATTCCTTCCCCATGCAGTGAAGACATTTCCTCCTTGGGACCAGCAGTTAGCGTAATGGCTGTGTCGCTGGACTCCCACGTAGTCAACTGCGGTTCGAGTCCTGGACCCGGTGGCTTAAACTCACGCCGGGCGCGTGTGCGTGCGTGCCCAAGATCCCGAGAGGAGAATGGAGGAGAGGGGATTGCGGCATGGCCATCCCCCCTGGGGGGGGATTTCCTGCTTTCTGTCTCTCTGTCTCTTTCTGTCTGTCTGGCGAGCGCACACGCCCTATAGTGAGAAAAAAAAAAAAAGACATTTCCTCCTTTCAGAGCTCAGGAGCCTCCCCTCCCCCATCACTGGCACTTTAATCCTACTTCTGTCTGTGGTAGCTCATGGTCACATGGCCCAGACCATTCTTCCCTCCTACTGCGTGCCAGGCTGTGGGCACCATTCTGGGACCCAGGAATGCAGCAGAAACCATCCTGCCCTTCCCAAGAAGCAGGCACATCAACTAGAATACAAGTGTGGACCTCGCTAGGGGAGGCGGCAAGTTCCGGGAGCTTTAAAGGGGGAGATTTTGCTTTGGACTGGAAGATTTCTAGAAGGCTTCATGGAGGGAATGGCATTTGAGCTGGAGTGGAGGCCAGCTGGTGATGTGGTGGTTAAGGCAGCTGGATCCCACAAGATCGATGACACGGTTCAAGTCCCGGACCCAGCGGCTTGAGACATGCTGGATGTGTGTGTGTGCATGCCCAGAATCCCCAAAGGAGGGAGAGAGAGAGAAGGGATTGCAGCGTGACCATTCCTCATGAGCGGTGCTTTCTCTCTCTCTCTCTCTAGGGATCACACTGTCCTGTAGTTAAAAAAAAAAGAATACAAATGTAGGGTGGAGGCCAGCAGGTGGCATGGTGGTTGAAGTGCTGGACTCCCATATGGCTGACCAGGATTCGAGTTTCTGAACCTGACAGCTTGAAAAACATGCTGGGCATGTGTGCAGGCATACCGAAAATCCCAAGAAGAGAATGGAGGAGAAGGGATTGTGGTGTAGTTATACTCGGGGGGGGGTGATTTCTCACTTTTCCTCTCATTGTCCAGCAAGCTCACGTGCCCTATGGCAAAAAAAAAAAAAAAAAGAAACCTTAGGAAAAAAATGTAGGGTGGGGCCCCAGGTGGTGTCAGGGTTAAGGGGCTGGATCCCACATGGCCAACTCCACAATTCTAGTCTGGGACCCAGTAGCCTGAAGAACACGCTGGGTGCATGTGTGTGCATGCCTAAAATCCTGAGAGGAGAGTGAAGGAGAAGGGACTGTACCATGGCCATCCTCCCCAGGGGTGAGTTCTTACTTTTCCTGTCTTTCTATCTCTCTTTCTTTCTCTCTCTCTCTCTCTCTCTTTCTGGTGAGCACATGTGCCCTATAGCAAAAATTAAAATGAAAAAAATGTATAGTTGGAGGGGACACAGAAGTGAGTGTCACTCATCCTCTGTCAGCACAGTGGCAGGAGCAGAGTTTCGGAGGGAAATGTGACTACAGTCAAAGAGGGGGGCAGAGAAGGCCCTCAGAGCCTCGGTTCTGGGGGAGCCCCAGAAAGGAGAGGTAAACAGGTCATCAGGGATCACACACTTCACTTACTAGCTGGGGACGCCGAGGCCCAAAGAAGCCATGACATTTTGTCAAAAACCACCAGTGGCGGGATACATGTGGCGTGCCCAGTTCCTGGCCTGAGGGAGTTGAGTCTTCTCACTGCTGGGAGTGAAGGCAGAGTGTCCACAGGACGGGAGGAAGCCACTGTGAAAGCCACGGCCCAGTGAGCATGGGCCTGCTCCCGGCCTCCTTCCCTGGTTCTCCACCAGGGATCAGAGCTGTGGGTTCCAGGTGGCTACGAGTCTGGCTTGTGGGTCATACCCCAGTGACCTCGGTCAGCACTCAGTTCTGCAGGAGGCAGGCCCCAGGACTCTCTCCTCCCCCAGAGGGAAGGCAGAGGCAGGTTGAAGCAGGCCAGTTAGAGACCCTTGGAAGGATGTCACCCTGATGTGGCCCTAACCTAGAGATTTCCCTCAGGGTGCAGAGTGAGGGTGGAGGGTCCAGTTTTGCAGCCCGCACCTCTACAAAGAGTGTCCAGGCAGTCCAGTAGCTCTGCCCTAGCTTAAGACTTGTCTGCTTCGGAATTGGGATGAAGTATGGCTGCCTCCCTTACTGGCTGCACAGCTAATTTTATTTATTTATTTATTTGTCTGTTTGATTATTCGTTTATTTATTTTTGCTAAAGGACACATGCACGCACCAGAGAGCGATGGGGAGGAAGGGAGAGTGAGAAAGCAAGCTGTCAAGGCTGGGATCCGAACCGCAATCAGCCATGCGGGAGTCCAGTGTTCTAACCACCATCAACCTACTGGCCCCCATGGCTAAGATCTTTATCTACTATCCTTCCTAGGGCAGGATGTTCCTTACCGAGCAGAACTTGCTCGAACTAGAACAGCCTCTTACGTCATCGCTTTAGCACTTTGCAGCTTACTCTATCGTGTTTTCTGCTCTAACTTCTCACTGACCAGCAGGACGATCTCTAAGATAGGCAGGTCAGGTAACTGAGGAAGGACTGCGAGGGAGGCTGTGGGCACACAAGAGCCTGTACAGAATTGGGAGTTGACCATCCCTGGCTTCTAGGCCTGATGCTCTCAGATGCCCTCAGGCAAGGGATGGACTGGCCTGGGAGCTGCCTGCCTGTCACCCAGCAGTACTTGTCCCTCACCTCCACCCCGGGGAATCCGGAATTACCCAAGATAGCAGCCTAAATTAAGCATGCAGCAAGCAATAGGGTGTGTCTGCCCGATACTGGAGTCATCTAGGAAGGTCCAGGGATCGGATCCCAAGTTTTCCTGAACCCACTGGGCACGCCCATGATCCTGGCTGATTGGAAGGCTGGGAGAAAAACTGCAGTGTGATGAGATCCTGTCAGGGGGTCCCATGAGTGTCTCTCTCCTGCCTCATGAAATAAAGAAAGAATCAACTTAAAAATAGAATTAGTAACTTCCCTGATCTGCCCATCCCAAATCCTGGGGCTGCCTACTTCTTCTTTCACTGAAATTTGTACATCTCTGACTCACTGTGAAAGTCAGTTAATCTGATCATGTAAATCCTAGGTAAATAATCTGGTAAATTTCTTGGAGCTGGCTACTAAGACCCTCTTTCCCAACCCCATCTTTTCTCTACCTCCCAACCCCTGCCCTACAGTCCTCCCTTTCTGCTTGGTATGCGTTACTCCTGCTCAAGAATCCACAATGGCTCCCCAGTTCCTTCAGGAGTCAGCCCAATCTATGGACTCCATTCAAGGCCTCCCCCCATCTCATCCCAGCATCCCTAGTGGCTTGACGGGCGCTCACCCCTCCAGGCTTTCATTTCATTCAGAGAAGCTCCCCGTGGTCCCTGAGACACTCCTCTGCCCTCCCACCTCTGCCACAGCTGCTGTTGTCCCCCGTTTCTTCCTGCCAGAT